TTCCAATTGGTCTTCAAGGTCATCCCAAGCTAGAGCCATTTGCAATAGGCAAATCATGAGATGTGAGGCCATGGGAGATCCTGGAAAGGATACGCTAGCACAGCAGATAGAGTGTGCTAGTGCAAAGTTGGCTGGTCTTTGAGCAGGTACTTTGAGTCTAAGAGAAATCCTCCCCCCAAAGTTGCTCTTAAGTCCTGATTGGGTAAATGTAAAAATAATTCAGAAATAAAATGGAAAATGCCCATCTCAAGGTAGTCCAAACAGCCACAGGCGTTCAGTCTGGGTAGCAATAGCCAGAGTCAATTTCTACTCATCTAGGCCTGCACAGCCTTCAGGCACAGAAACAGGATTTCAACAGCCTCATTTGGCCAGCCTCAAACCAAAATGTCTGATTGGATATTATCAGCATACTGGTGATAGAGTTCTCCAAACCAGCAAATGACCTAACCTAGTGGTTTCATATAGAGGTTGGAAAGGAAGGGAGAGACCATTGGATCCTGTGCACTTTTCAAGGGAGGAGTCTCAGGAATGACAACACATCCTTCAGCACAATTAAAACTAGCTATAAAGAAAAGATAACCATTATAATGCAGTGCCCTCAATTCCCAATCTCTGGATCTGTCCATAAAAATATTTTGGGACAAAGGAATCCAAGGATGGAAGCACCAGCTCTATTCTAGCTCCATTTTAGGTAATCAACAAGTACAAGCAAAGCTGTGTTAAATAATTTTGACTATACTGTTAAAAAACAACAATTTTGTAGTATATCAATTGACAAAAACATTCCTAAGAAATGGCAATCAGTTCCTTTGTCTTACAACCTCTGAGGCTCCTAGCTGCCAAAAAGCTAAGGCCATAGTGCCTCCCAGTTTTCACCACGAACATTTTGTTCAAAGAACAAACTGATTTAAAAATATTATATCCAGAAGTATAAAAATATAAATAGATTAAAACTATAAATATGGGAGGGTAGGAATGCTGAACAAATTGACCCAATAGATAAAATGAGCTTGAATGTTCCAAGGTTAGATGGAAATAGAAAACAATATTTATAGTTGCTGCAAAGATCATGGGAAGGGCATAAATATCAGTGTAATTTCATTATAGGACAACGTGTAGCAACACATTAGCAATCTACATGAGGTTTGGGAAGTCTGGTTCAGGGCTTCACAAAACAACATTAAAGAAGCTAAAGGATGTTCTTGAATAAAATGTGATTTGTTCATAGGCCTGGATAAAGCTGAAACTATGCCTTTACCAAGAAATCTTCTTGTCCAGTTGGTTCCTCCATCCTTTTGGGAGAAAAAGTGTAAATTAATAAATTGGGGAAGAAACCAGCAGGGGACTCAGCAGGTATGGTATAGTCAAGATGGTACCATAACCCCACAATCAAAGCCTCGTGGTCTTTTTGCATGCATTATGTGCACAATGCTCATAAAAAGGAGCAGAGCTTCAGTTGTTCCATGGCAATTGCCATCTTGACTTTTTTTTTTTTTTTGACACACATACACGCACCTATTTTATTTAGAGTAGATATGATACCAGACAAAATACTAGCCAGTCTAAATGCCAGACATGAGAGGTCTCTCACATTATGTTGATTGTCTTTCCATCCTTTATTGCTTGTGGAACTGAAACATAATATGCAGGCAACTATTTTCTTGTGAGATGCTGTACTGAAAGGAATGCATCTTGAAATGTATTCAGATATTCTTTCTGCGTTGGTCATCTCAGACTGTCTTACTAGTCCCCCCTTAGCTGAACACAATACAGTCATGGTAACTGAACACAAAGAGGTGTTCATACATTGATGTGCACATCCTACAGGCAAGCCCAGGAAGCGATTTGCATCAATGCACACATCAATCACCTTCTCATCCTCCTTGCCCTGTCCTGGTTTTAAAACTATTTTAAAATATTATTAATGGTAACTGTTATTTTTCAACTTGCGTTTCTCAGGTAGCAGGCTTAGTATAAAGCTGAAGAGTTCCCATTGACTGGGCTTACTTTTAGTAATCAGAAGCTTTAATGTGTTTCAGTAAAATTGGCATAGCTGGTTGAAAGCTTGGCCACTCCTAGGAAGTATATTTCTGTAATTGCTTTCAGTGTGATGCCAAATTGGTTGGAGCACATGGGTGACTTTTGGCTTCTTCTGCGCATATAAGCTACATCATTGGCAAGCAGCTAAAAACTTAGATTTACTAAATTTGCATTCATAGCTTACTAAGAAGCATTCATTCTTGAGTTATTTATACAAATAATAAAAGTGGATAATAAATATTGCATGTGTTAGAAACTTTGAAGCAAGCATATGTAGGTTTGTCCTGTGAGGATCTGACAATACACTATGGCAACTTCTCCCAAAGGTGCTTTTTCAAGAGGCAGATGGAGTTTCTGGTTTTTCTTTGAACATGTTTTGCTTCTCAGACTCAAGGCTGATTTAACCTTCCATCCTTCCGAAGTCGGTAAAATGAAGACGCTTCTTATTCTGTATATTGTCCTTACATGATTCTTGATAGGATATGTAAGTATGCAGTCAGATGCATAGCTTAATTTATCTAGGTATTACAGTCACCATTTTGGGATATCAATCCTTCATGTTATTACTATTCCTTATCTTTCAAAACTATTCCCTGCAATGAAAGTTTCTCAAACTTCACCCAGAAAAGTCTATTGCTAACTTTAAAGCATTTAAATGAAGCCTTCAAATTGCTTTCTGCCCTGGGTAGGGTTTTTTGGACTTGTATCTCTGTGGGTAATCATGTTTTTTTTCCCTTGTTTACTCTCTTTAAATCACTCCTTTTAAAATACATATGTCCAATATGGATGTAATCACTCCACCTTTCAGATATGAAATTGTTCAGAAAGTGATATGCAGCAGCTGTTTCTAGTATATTAATCTTCTGGTTTATATTGTTGAACTGCATAAAAAGTACCAATAAGACTTCAACATACTTTAAAAATACTTTTTTATTTGTTTATTAGTAGCAATTCTTGTATGTAACACTTGATAATCAGGCAAAAAAATCTGTATCTATTGTTAAGTTTCTCAGGCAATATAGGTGTTTCTAGTCTACTTTTAGTGCTACCAATCAAACAAATGTTATTTCCTTTGATATATTTCATTTTTAAACAAAAAGGATGAAAGGGAGTGTTGGAAGAAACATCCTTCTAGGTTCTGCTCGAAGTGGGGAAACAGACACTGGAAACACGGAGACTGCTTGGAAAGATGGTTTAATGGTGGACAGGATCACATGGCTTGAGTTCCTGAACAGAAAAGGGGCGGATACAGCGAGTTTTTCAGGTTTTATGCTCTCTCTGGCTTTGAACCTCCTGGGGCCCAGAAAGAGTACTCTGATTGGTTGTCAGACTCCCAGGGGATGGGGGGGTCTTGCTGGCTGATGGTCACATGTGCTTCCCAGGTCACATGTGGTGAGTTTCTGCTGCTATTGTGTAGAGGGATAATCCTATCTTTGTTGGATCTTTGGCAATTCCTACTATGGCTCTGTCTGAAGGAGGTAGATCTTTGTTATGTAGAATAGATTGGCCCAAGCCTTAATGGCCCACTGACAAAGGGTGGGGGCAGGAAGATGGGAGCTGCTTTGTCTGTAAAATATGCTTCTCCATTTCTCATCCAGGGAAATATAATATTCTGCCTTTTTCATATTTCCTAAAATATTTCACTCTTCCAAGAAAGGGGTGGGTGCTAACTTCCTACAGGAGCAGAGAAATATGGGAGGATTACAAATTGAAAACATTCTTGCCCTGACCCTTGTAAAATCCACGTTTATTAGAAGATAGTTGCAAGTAAACCTTCATCTAAAGCACTCTATCCTTTTGCAAAGATGTTTTATGTAGGATGTATAAGGAGACAAAACTTGGCCATATTATGACTAACCTGTGATTACAGAAGGAAAATAAATTCGACATACTTTTGCAAATAAAATGATAATCGTTAACTGGAAAGGAACAAGAGTTTCCCATATTAAGTATGCTTTCCTAAAAGCAATCAATACTAATTACTTCTGAGTAGGTGTGCTTAGAACGGGAATTTAATAGGAAATAAGTTACCTCTCCTTTTCTTTTTCAAAAATCTTACATGGGAGAAAATTAGCCCACTTGATAATTCAATTGGCTTTGCCTGACCTGTTATTTTCCCCCTTGCATTTCAGTTTGGCAGAGCATGTGGATAAAAATGTTCGCTTATATATTTGTACAGCAACATACATTTCATTTGGTTGCATTGTAATGACAACTTGCACACTCAGCTGGGAGTACATGTATATGACCCACACTGTTCAAGTTTGCAATTTGTTTATTTCCAAGCCTCAAAGGCTAAACATAAATTAAGTCTTCAGGGTAACTCTGCAACCTAAAGATTCCATCTACACCGTATGCAATTTTCCCGACATCCTGCTTTTGTTGGCTTCCTTCCAAAATGTTATTTTTTAAAAAATCTTTCCAATCTAATCATCAGCACTAGGAGCTCTGCTATTCTTCCATCCAATTACTAACTAGGGTCAAGCCTGCTTAGCTTTTCACCCTCTGTCAAAGCGGGATAAGTGCTGCCCCCTGCTGCTTCCAAGGAAGTTATAAATTGAAGCACAGTACTGCAAAGTCTTTAAGGGAAATATAAAAACATTTATTTTATGCAGTGATCTTGGTGGTCACGGAGCAACAGCCAAAGAACCATCTCTTAACTCTGAAGATATCAGAGAAGGCAGGCGAAGGCCAACGCCTGCTGTACAGAGAGAAACTAGAAACAGGTAAGGAAGCCTGTCCGTTGCCATGGCAATTCGAGGCCCGAAAATTCGAAACTTGGCAAGCGCTTAAAATTATAACGGTAGATCCGGCCGGCAAGAATCAGGCGACCGCTAGGGGGCCACAGAGCGCTCGCAGAACGCTCCCTGCTACCGTCTGGCGGCCGCTTGGATGTTTCCGGCCCTCGTTCGAACTCCGCTTGGGCCGCGCTCACGGCGGTTTCGCTGACGTCAGCGGAGGGCGCGCGGACGAACGGTGACGAAGGCGGAAGCGGCTCAAGGGCTGGCGCGGAGGCGACCTCCGCTTCCCCACCTCAGCCGGAACCAGCGCTGCCATGGAGGTAACCGGCCGGGGGGAGCGGGGAAGAGGGGCACGTGGGGCGCCGCCTGGGGAGCTGGAACTGCCCCGTTTCGCTCGCCTGCGAGCCACGAGGCTTGGCTTTTCCGGTTCGCTTTCCCTCCGGCTGTAAAAGGGCCTCCGTCCCCGCCGTTAGTGGGTGGCCCCGTTTTTCTCGGCGAAGGGGCGATAAAAACGCCGCTGGGTGGTGCTCGGAGGTGGCTCGATATTCTTCTATTCTGCACCGAGGGGAACCCGGGGGAGTCCCCAGCTCTGTCCGCTTTTCACAAGTGCTCTGGAAACACCGGCACAGTGATTCAATACCCGAGGGGCGTAAATCTTTTTAAGCTGCCTGGAATGGGGTCCAAGCTGTGTGTGTGTGTGTGTTGCATTGTGGATGATGCTGAATCGCCTTTGATCTTGCTCGCTTTGGCTTTAGCAGCAACCTGGCAGTCCCAACAAGTGAAGCTTTCCTGGTTCAGACTGAGAGCAAGGAGGGCGCGGTTAGGGCTATTTGGGCTGCAACCAAAACTTTACCGAAGTTGCTTATATGTTGGGCTTTACTCACTTCCTTCAGATATACAGTAAAAAAACAAACAGAAAAAAACAAGTTATTGAAATGTGGGCACGGTCTGTTGCTTGATTTTGGCTTCATGTGTTGAGTGAACTCGTTGTGGTTTGTTCAGTAAACTGGTTTAGTGTAATGTACTATAAGCCCGCTCTGATTTTTTTTTACAAATAATGAACTTCAGGTAGTATAATCAAACAACACATTGTAATTATCCTTTACTTTTCTTTAAGTAATAGATTTGTGGAAAGGAAAGCCGATAGTAGAGAACACGCATTCAAGTAAATATGGTTAATTATTTACTTAATTTAAATTAAGTAAATTAATTTAATTTATTTTTAGTTATCGTAACTTTTATATTGTATGTTATTTTAATTTTCGGCTGTTCACCGCCCTGAGTCCCTTCGGGGAGAAGGGCGGGATATAAATTCAATAAATAAATAAATAAAAGTAAATATGGTAATGTCTGGACTCTTCCCCCATTACCCCAGTAAATGAAGCACTGTGGTGGCTTATTAAAAGGCTAATCCAGACCCATCCCCCCAAAAAAAGTTTGAGACATTTATAATCTGCTCTGAATGCTGAATATAATTTCCTCTGTACTTCCGACAGTTTGTTGATTGTCTTTGCAATAAATTTATGTTCTAAGCTTTTGTGTGTCTGTATATTGCATTGAAACAAGACCAATTTTTAAAAATCGGATGTCCTCAGATTTGGCCCTGATAACTCCTGATTTTTTTGGATTAAGTGATCTAGAAAAGGGTATTCATCATTTGACAAAAATACAAGAAAAAAAATTCTAAATGTCATAGGGAGAAAGTTGGGCTAAACTTTCTCTACAAGTAATAAATCCCAGAAATACGTTGGTTTATTAGTAAGCATTCTTGTCTTGAGCTACAAGTTTTCTACCAGAAGGTGGTGCTGAGAGACTGATGTTTTTATTCTGTAGGAGTCTTTAAGATTCGCTTTTATTTTTCAGTCTTTTTATAAAGTCGTTAAGAGCTTTTACAATGAGATGCCATGGTGTTCATATATCACCCAGTTATGTGTGCACTATAGTATATCATGGTATATCAAGACTGGAATGAGTTTAGTGTACCCCATTACAATTTGTCATTGTTACAAAAAGTTTAAAATTCCCTTGCCCAATTTTTTTTATTAATTTGCCATATCATCTAGGTGTGACAACTCTGGTTAATGTTAACTATGGCCCATTCAAATTGTGGGTTATGAAACTGGCTTGCCGTAATTTAAAACAATAAAAGAAAAAAGGATATTTTCTCCTCATAGCTATCCCAGAGAAAGAAGAGAAGGGAAGCATATGAGCCTAGGTATAATGTTTTGTATTGTGATACACTTTTGTTTCTCACAATATCCAAATACAATTTTCTTCTTTTTACCAAATCCATAGGAGGTGATTGGTTTTCTAACTGAACTTGAGTATATATAGTTTGCAATTTTTTCTTCCACAGTAAATCATGCACAGTAGGACTTTGTAGTGGTTTTGATAAGATGTGGAAAAGGTGCTTTGCAATATGTTAGCACATAAATGCAGCACATGCTTGTATATCATTTAAAAGTTATCTTTTCCTGAGATTACAAGGCTGCTGTGGAAGCCTGCAAATAGGTCTAATGTTCTCCCACGAAAAGAATTTTGTGCCTTCAACTTAACTCCTGATGACCTCATGGAGTCCCTACAGTTTTCTTGGCAACATTTTTAAAAGTGGTTTTGCCACTGAGAGAGAATAACTAGATTCTACCTTCTGCATAAGGTAGAAGTAGAATTCTAGCCTCCTGGTTTTTAGCCTGATGGCCCAATCACTGTATCAGACTGGCCCGCAAATGGCCTTCCCTTCTGTCATTAAAGCAGAAATCTTGCAACAGTAAGAAAAAGACACACCTAATTTAATAAATACAAATAGATCCTGTATTCACCTCTTCCTAGTAAAATCCAAAGTATTACGTAACTTTAACAAATACCACTAAATATTTTGAGGTAAATATAATGCAGAATTGCTGAGATCCGTTTCTGTAATTTTAAAATGTTAATTATTCTTTTAACTGGTTTATTAATGGAATTATTTAAATGCTATTTCTTTTTGTAAACTGCTTTTTTGAATAAGTGTATGTATATTATAGGTATAATAATACATTTTGATATTTCATGCTTTTTTCAATATAAAACTTTATTTCTGCTTAGCTGCAAGATAGTGAACAAGAAATGGCAGCTTCTCCTCCTACAGCCACATCAGGGAAATCAAAGGTATATTTCTACAAACTTTTCTGACCTTTATAATCATAGAGTTGGAAGTCACCATCAGTGTCATCTGGATGAATGTTTCTCAACTTCACAAACTTTAAAATATATGGATTTCAACCTGCTGGCTGTAGAAGTCTGACAGTTAAAGTCAATTCAAAGTTGCTGAGAAAAAGGAACACTGATCTGGATTGCTACCACCACCCCACTCTGGATTCAGTGGGTGTCTATCTAGCCTCTGCTTAAAAACCTCTAATGAAGGAGAACTTATCATTTCATATCAGAGCCTATTTCACTGGCTAATAGCTTATCACAGTCTGAAAATTTGTCCTGATGTCTAATCAGAACCTTCTCCCTTGTAGTTTTAGCTAGTTGGACCTGACCTCTGTGGCAATCAATAATAAATTTGCTCTCTTTTCTGTATGACAAACTTTCAGATTTTTTAAAAGATTGCTATCATCTATTAGTTGTTTCTCTTGTAAGCTAAACATACCCAGATTCTTTGAATATTATTATAAGGCTTTATTTTATTATATTAACAAACCCCCATTATCTTGTTAGTAATCCTCTGAATCTCCTCTGATTTGTCACTGTGTTTTTTTAACAGTGGTGCCCAGAATGAGAGACAGTACTCCAGAGGTCTAATTTAATAAATTGGTTCATTTTCCAATGTAAATATTAACTTTAAATGTAAATAAATGTTTTAAATGTAAATAGAGTCATTGCCATTAAGTTTATTTATTTATTTTATTTGTCAAGGAACGATGGATATAGTTTTTACCAGAAACATCTTCCAATCATACCAGGAAAAGTAATTTTCATGCAGTAATCTGATTAAAATAAAATACAGTGTTTACAGTGTTCAGATATTCTTTTTAAACTTCATTCTATGTATAATTGGGTTAGCAAATCAAAGAATTATAAATGTCTGAAGATAGTTTTATTTAAGCCTTTAAATAAATCTTAAATCTTAATCAACTTGATAAACTGCAGAAATTTCAGTTGGAAATCAGTGTTGCCCAATTATTCAGGTAGTATATTATTCTTCAGTCTGTAAAACCAAAACCCTCAAAGGGTTTCTTTTCTGGATCAGGAATTTTGTTACTGAAACTTTTAGTACCTCCTCAATATTGTCTGTTGTAGTTTGGTAATGACTTGGAAGTTGAAGGTTTTATTCTACTAGACCCTTAGAGCAGTATTTATGGAGCTCTTCAAGCTCTCTTGCTTTATTTAATTGACCAAAATAATAATTTGAAACGTATCATGGAGGAATATGCAGGTCTATTGTAATTTCAGAAGATATAAGTGCTTTAAATATTATTGTTCTGAAAGATTGATCTCATTTTGCAGGTCTATTGGAACTAAATATGTTTTATAGTGATAGTAAATCAAAAAGATTACATCATATATTACAATGTTTTCTTATGAGTCCTGAACAGCCATCTGCAGTAATATATTGGTTGAAGAGCAGAACCAAATATTATGTTCTGTATGATTATCTCTATGATTAAATGAAATTTGAATATGCATCCATTTTAATTTGCATTTATGGATTTTACAGCTGGACACATTAACAAGAGAAGATCTTATCAAATTTGCGAAAAAGCAAATGGTGCTTTTACAGAAAGTGAAATCCAGATCTGCAGGTATCTTTACAGAAACTTATTTAAACTTATTTAAAAGCCATATAGCAGGATACTCTAGAGAAATTTAGACAATTCTTCCTCTATATTCCACCCACTCCACCCCTAGCCCCAATTTGCATTAGCATCCATGCTGTGAAGCTTTCTTGGAAGAACTATAAATATCAATCTAACTTAGACATATTCCTGTTAATAATGCTGAACTCTACAGGTTATATAGATTATATTTTGGATTGTATAAAAATAAGATACAAATATAACAAGATACTGATTCATACTCAAATAATAATTTTCTCTAGAATTAGAAAAGGAAATTGAGAAACTAAAAACAACATCTGTGGCTGAAGGAACTGATGATATTATTCAGGTATGAATCCATAATAATACATAACATATGGTGCAATAATGTTTAATTCCCAAGAAATTCATTGTTTGGTCCAGTGGGAACAATAATGGCTTGTTATGTGCTCACATTGCTCTTTGTGTCTTTTGCATCATTTACCTAGAGATAAAATACAGACTGCTGATTGATTGTGAATAACTTTTAATTGAATTTCATTTAATATGGATTGCTTTTTAGTGTCTTCTGTGCTCTATCTTAGAATTAAATACTGTTTATGATAGCTTCATGTCTGGTATTAAAATGTATTATTTTTTTTTAAAGTAAAGTTGAAATAGTGAAAGGAATTGTTAGTTTTAATTACTTAATTTACCATACAACTAGTAAGAAGGTGTTACCTACTCTAAGACGTAATGGCAACTTTGGGATGAAATACTATATTATAATATAATACTACATGTAGAAACCTAGACTCATTCATCTTCCTTCCTCACTGTAGCTACAAAGAGCTGTTTTCCATTTTCTTTTAAACTCAGTTCAGTATTGCATTCAAACTCTAAAATGAAAAAGGTTTACTAAAACATGGTTTAATTAACCATGGTTTGCTTGGCTCATATGGACTGCAATTTAAGGCTCAGGTAGGATTAAAAATTGCACTAATTGAAAAACACAAGTGAAACCTTTGCTTAACGCATTGTAAGCCGCCCTGAGTCTCCAGAGAAGGGTGGCATATAAATCAAATTTAAAAAAAAAAAACCTTCTAACCATAGTCTCCTAATAGGACTAACCATAAAAATATTTATAAGTACCGGTACTTTTATCATCCCTTTCTTTTGCCTCTTCTCTCCTAGATTTATGTGGTAGAGTAGGCCTGATGTTTATTGATGAACAAAGTTTACTGTCATGCCTGGAAGCCATATTATCTGTGTGCCTTGAGGATCCAGGTCTGCCACAATCATACCGTGGGAAGTTGGGAGGGGGGATTGCATGAGTGAAGTAGAGATAGCCATAACAAAATTCTCTAAGAGAAGTTCAAGGCCATGGTGTCCGGCAGCTGTGCAAAGAAGAAATTGGAGGATGTCTTCTGCTTGGGAAAGAACTGACTGGAGCTGTATGGACATGTGGGAGATGTGGGCAAGGATTTGAACTTTCTTGTGGGTGAGGAAAACCTGGAAGCTTTCAGATTTGGGTTTTCCCAGATGTGCCAATATGACATCCCTAATAAAAGTTAGCTTTGAGGAAGCTCAAGCCTTGGAATTTGATTTCGTTGGGGGTGTTACTTGGAATCCTGACATTTACTCTATATTTTGGGATTAATGATGAATACCTTCTATAACCAAAATTGACTGTAGGATGTGTGTTGATAAGTTGTGTTTTTGTTAATTTTTTCACTTTAATGGTAATGACAGAGTTATTTTCCTTCCCCTTCATTTATTTATGAAGAATGTCTACAGATGAATTTCACTGAAATATCATTGATATAATTAACATGGAAACAAATATTTTTGAAAAACTTTCACATAAGAGAACGCATGATGAATAACTTCCTTCCCCCCCCTCAAACCTCTGGGTGTTATGCCAAAACAAGCAATAACTCCAGGAGATGAGAGCGGTTCTAGTATTGTCTCTGGCAAAGAAAAAAAAAAAGAATTTAGAGAAAATACGGTGTGCGTGAGTGTGTGTGTTTTAATAAAGTTAAATGTATATCTGCTTTTGAAAGATAATTATAACTTTTTTCTCTCTTCTCAAAACTAGGCACTTACAGAGAAACTGAATGTGGTTCTTTTGGAAAAAGCAGAAGCCCAGCAGCAGTGTGTAGCTCTGAAAAAAAACAATGTGAAAAAGCAGCAAGAAGCAGAGGTATTCCATAGGAAGATTTGATAGGAAATTATTGACATTAAAATATAGTTTATTAAATAGATTTGAGTAACAGAAAATGCTTTCATTTAAGTTTTTGGCTCCAAATTCTGGTTAATATGCACTGCCCAATTCTCCCTTGCAAACAGGTAAGTGTAGATGCTAGGAATGAACCCCACAAGAGTGTAATATTCATTAAAATCTGTGTATAGGACAGTGTTTCTCAATCTTGACAATTTAGGATGTGTAGACTTCAACTCCCAGAATTCCCTGGCCATCAGGAGAATGGCTGGCTAGGGAATTCTGGGAGTTGAAGTCTACATCTTAATGTTATCAAAATTAGGAAACTACATTCTTTCAGATGGGTATTCCAGTCTTGAAATGTGGGTCAACAGTGTGCCATTGTAAGATTTGCAAATCTTAGTGTGAGAAAAAGTATTTTAATGACAGAGAAAAGTAAAGCCAAACACTAATGCACAGATATATGTTGAGTGAAAATGTTATACTCTACAGCTGGGGCATTCAGATATAAAAAATATAGAAGTTCTAAATTTATATTCTAAATTCGCATTATTCTTCTACTTTGTTAAACATTTTACTGTTCTCTGATCTCTCTGTTTTGGAAAAAATCAAATACTTTCAAAAATAATTTAGGATCTAATCTGATACTCAGTTCTGTTACAAATACTGGTAGGTCTATCATCTGACATAAAGCTTATTGCTACATAGATTTCATGTTCAGTTTTACAAATGGAATAAATTGGAAAGGAACTAAGTCAATTAAGTTTATATTATTTACAGACTATATAGTATATCCGTTGTATTTAGAAATCCTGTCTCATTAGATGAAATGTACATTTTTCCCTTATCAGAAAAATCACTGCTCTAAGTTGAGATAAAGGTAGACATCAATAATAGTACCTCTGCAGATTGCACCTGTATATTTCTTGTAAAATCTACTAATCCTTTGATTATTAGTTCTATAAAATAGACCTGATGCTTTTATGATGCTTCATCACATATTTGATTTACTTTTTTTAATTAGGATGCCCTTGCTCAGGAAGAAATATGGCAGAAGAAGTTTGCCCAATTGAATACCTCTCACCAGAATGAAATTGAAAGCCTTAAAAATGAAGGATTAATTGCACAGTCCAAATATAACGAAACTATAGCCACATTGCAAAAGGAGCTGCATACAGAACTGAAAAAACAAGAACAGCTCACAGAACAGCTTAACTTCCATACTAAAGAGCATGACGAAATTAGAAGACTACAGGAAGGCCAGCAGACAAAGATCACTTACGAAGAGGAGATCTTGAATCTAAAGAAACAGATAGAATTTTCCAATGCATCTAAAGAGGAGGAAATTACCAAACTAAAAAATACTATTGAAAGTAATTCTAGGCAGTATCAAAACAGAATTGATGAGTTAGGTGAAGAGCTAGACAAACTGAAGACCTCTCACCAAGATGAGCTATCAGAGCTACTACAAAAACTTGAAGCCTCTGCTAAAGTATGTGAGGAGGAACAAATTAAAGTAGATAAGCTAAAGCTGGACTTGATAGAGCAATACAAGGTAAAAGAGAAAGAGATGCAGGTTGAATTGCAGGCTTGTAAAGAGAAATATGAGCAGGAATTGGAATGCATAAGGCAAACCTTGACTAAAGATGATGAAAATCAAAATGAGACTAGAAATACTGAAACAGAACCAGAAATGGTAGAAAAGACTGGGCATATAGAGAAAGCTTTCAAAGAACTGGAATCTCAGCATAGTATATTAAGAGATGAATTAACTTATATGAACAATGTTAAAATGAAACTGGAATTGGAAGTACAACACATAAAAGATGAATATTTTCATGAAAAGGAAGATTTGGAATTCAAAATTAATGAACTGCACCTTGTCAAAGAAGAGCATTGTTGTGTAATAGAAAAACTGAAATCAGAGCTCCAGTCGGCAAAAGGACTATACGAAAAACACATAAAAGAGAATAGCCTCAAAATGGAGGGTTTAGTAGAAACACACCAAAAAGAAATATGTGAACTGAATCAAGCTATAACATTGAGTGCAGAGAAAAAAACCCAGTCACTTATTATTAAAATACAGCACCTTGAAGAACAATGTCAGAGGCATATAGAGGAGAAAGAAGAAGCCATTGCTAGTTATGAGAACTTGCGAGAAACACTGGTAACTTTGCAGACTGAATTGGGGGAATCAGCTGGGAAGATAAGCCGAGAATTTGAATGTATGAAGCAACAGCAGGCTTCTGATGTTGATGAATTACAGAAAAAGCTTCGAGCTGCTTTCAATGAAAGGGATGTCCTCCGAGAAGAGGTCAATTCTCTCCATCAACAGATAGAACAGTTCTCCTCCCAAAAAGAGGAGGTAGAAGAGCTCAGGCATAAAATAGGGACACTTCAAGAAGAGAATAAGCAACTGCTTTGTTGTCTTGATCAAAAGGAGTCTGACCTAAAACAAATGGAAGAGAAAGAAAATGAACTTTCCTCACAGAATAGTAGCTTCCGTGATAAAATGCAAGGTTCAGCTGAGAAAATAGAAAACCTGCAGAAAAAATGCAAAACACAACAAGAGACAGTAATGGCGCTTCAGCAAGAAGTTGAAGCTCTCAGCATATGCAACCATCAATTAAAGCAACAGGCAGAAGAGTTGGGGGAGAGACTGGAAGATGTTTCTGGAGAAAAAGAAACAAACCGGGAGAAGCTGATCAAATTTGAACAACAAATGGAAGGCTTTGAACAAGATAGAACAGGGCTGTTATCTGAAATAGAGGCTCTTAAAAGTGAGAACGACAAATTGAAGGAAGAACAAGATCAAGCAAGGCAGGAGCTAGACCGCTTGTCATCTGAAAAAGGAGACTGGAATCTATCCAAAGATAAAGCAGAGAGCTTAGAAGTGAAACTACATATGGCCTGTGAAGAAAAAAGCCATTTGATTAAAGTACTTGAGGAAGAAAAGGCCTTTAAATCTCTTGTTGTTAGTCAACTGCAAAGTCTCCATGAAAAGATGGGCTCCAAATACCCAGATGAAAACAAAGAAGAAGATATTGTTGGCACATTGCAGGCTGCAAATGAATTTTTGGCAGAAATGAAGCAACAGGAACAAAGTCTGATCTCTCAGAAAAATGAAAATGTTAATCTGCGGCAGGAATTGCAGAGTGTCCAGGAAGAAAATGAAGCTCGTTGCACAGAGTTCAGATCTCTATTGGAGGATTATGAAAAAGAAAAATGTCTCTTGAAGGAGGAATTAGAAGGAGCTTTCTCAGAAAAAGAAGTACTTCAGCTTGACATTCAAGAGTTGAAACATACCAGTGAGAAAATCAGGAAGGAGAACCAAGATCTTCTAGTTCATATTGAAAATATTTCTGAAGAACATGCAAATCAAGAAAACAAAATGAAAGAGCAGGAAGAAAAATCAGAAAATGAACAGAAAAATCTAACCTTAATTTTGGAGCAGAAGGAGACTGAACTGAAAAATATGCAAGCCGAACTTTCTTTGCTAAAGGTTAGGCTTTTATTATTGAAATCTTTAGACTTCTATTATGGAAATCTTTAGACCCAAGACTTAAGTTGGAAAGCTTTGGGGAAATATAGGCAAACAACTTTCTCTCTACTGCTCATGTATATGAGAGAATAAGTGCAAAGATGTACTTTGTTTGAACTTTCAATGGTTCCTTTTCATTTTAGCAAACAAGTTTGTTTTAATCCCAAAATGGGTATGTATGTTTGTATTTATGTTTGTACATTATCAAATTCAAAATGATCTTTTGATCAAAATTGGGTTAGGGAGTAACATTTAGCTTAGTTTTCTTTCAGGAGTCAAAGAAGGGAGTTTGTTTTAAAATAAAAATTAATGGTATTTTGAATGGTGAAAGATTAACCTTTGACTTACATCAATTCAAAAGATGCCTTTTTCTCCTTAGTTTTAGACATGGATTTAAAGTTTGATTTTCATGACTACCAGTTAATAAATTTAAAGGTTTCTTTGTCATGACTGATCCAAAATACAGTTTGTACTTGTTTGGTGACTACAAGTGAAGCTGGCAACGTGGTCATTAAGCAAAATGGTCACTAAATGAAACTAAAACCCTCTTCATGATCTTACTTCAGCTTTCTTTTGCTTTATAGGCCAACAGAGTTGGTTGCAAAGTTAATTTTTTAACACTTGTACATTGTGAAATGTCATTAATCAAGGCAGTTGCTAAATTAGGATTACCTGCAAACATGTCATAATGCTTTATGTTTTTTATAATTTAATAATGCCCAAATGGTAATGTCTACCATTTATGTAGAAGTCTTTCATGCCAAGTAGAGGTAGTCCTCTACTTATGGCCACAATTAAGCCCAAAATTTCTGTTGCTAAATGAAAAATTTGTTAAGTGAGTTTTATCTGATTTTACGACCTTTCTTGCCACAGTTGTTAAGCGAATCACTGCGGCTGTTAAATTAGTAACATAGTTGTTAAGTAAATTTAGCTTCCCCATTGACTTTGCTTGTCAGAAGGTCGCAAAAAGTGATCACATGACCCTGGGATACTGCAACTGTCATATATATGAGTGAGTTGCCAGGATTCTGAATTTTGATTGTGTGTCCATGGAGATGCTGCAATGGTTGTAAGTGTGAAAAACGATGACAGGTCATTTTTTTCAGTGCCTTTAAACAGTCACTAAACAACCTGCTGTAAATTGAGGAGTACCTGCTGGGTTTTTTTTTATTGTATAAAAACAAAAAATTGACCTGTCTGACCATTTTATGTTAAGATTATGATGGGATGTTCTTTCTCTAGAATTTGCTTCCTTTCCCTCACTAAGCAACAGGAAAATCATCTGCTGAAATGCCCATCTTATTTATTTTTGTTTATAATGCAGGAGTCTGTGGAGAAGACTTCTGCTGATCGCGATCAGCAATTATCAGAAACAGAGAAAATAGGTAATTTGTATGCATTTTGTTTGCTTTCTTTTTAAATCTTTTTGTTTTCTTTTATTTTTGACTGCTCAAAAGAGTTTGTACAGAAATCATTAAATGCTTTTCTAGAGTTTGTTATATGGAGTAATACCCTACCAGTCTCTGCGAAGCAAGAAACTTTGCATCTGCCTTAAATTACAGGCTTCCAATTACAGTTTTAGTATAATGCTCTTGAGAGCAAATATGCTTTATTGACAAAGCTCATGCAAAGGATAATTTAAATAACAGGCTTTCAGGCAAATATTGAACATTACATTTTTCAAAAAAAAATAATAATAATAAAAAGAATTTTGTAGTTTGGCATTTAAGACAGATTGTGATCACTTAATTTATTTCAATTTGTTGACTCTGAAAAATTCTACCACACACTTAATATATTAGATATGCATTATTTGTTGTTGAATTTGGTGTTGCTAAGTAATTGTTGAACCTTAGACCATTTCAAACTGAAGTCCATTGAAATGGTTACTAAATACAGCATACAGTTTAAATGGTGATACAAATAATGAAATGAATCTTTTTTAATACAGTTATTGACTATAGGAAGATTTTTGCTTTTATGTTTTAAAATATTAATTTGGTTTGCTTTAGTAAATTTGGAACAACAACTGAAAGAGAAGGAAGAAAAAATAAATAAAATTAAAGCTGTTGCTGTGAAATTGAGGAAAGAATTGGATTCTAGCAGGAAAGAGGTAAGTTGTCAAAAGAAACCTCTGCACTTTCAGTCAGTTGAAGTGTTGAAATGTAATTACATTACACTACAAATTACATTTACATTGGTAATGTAATTACAATATGTTAAAAGTAATGTTAATAATTTTAATTGTAATATATTTTCTGAATTGTGAATTGCCCAAAGTCATTTGTTGAGATGAATGGGTATAGAGCCTGGATAGCTCTGCAGACTAAAGCACTGTAATTTAACACAAGCTGCCTGCAATTACTGCAGGTTCGAATCTCGCCAAGGCTCAAGGTTGACTCAGCCTTCCAACCTTTCTAAGATAGATAAATTGAGGACCCAGTTGTGGGGGCAATAAGCTGACTTTGTATAAAATATACAAAAGTATGAAGGCTATTGCTTAATGCACTGTAAGCCACCCTGAGTCTCCGGAGAAGGGCGGCATATAAATCAAATTTTTTAAAAAATTAAAATAAATAAATAAATAAATGTCATCCTGGCACAATATAAATTTCTAAGGTCTGCTTTTATCTTATTGTTTTTAAAGGGTAAATGATGAGCTTATCTGAACATCTGGCTTTAGTTGCTTTGATCACTAAAAACTCTCTTGTTTCTTAATTTACACACATTTATGTATGTGAATTTGATGGCAAGTTTTCAGTTGATTTTGCAGTGAGCACACAGTAACAGTAGTCTGAATATTCAGTAGAATTTGCTGGAATTATACACTGCTCAAAAAAAATAAAGGGAACACAAGCAGAAGACATCCGAGATCTGAATGAATGAAATAGCCTTATTAAATACTTTGTTCGTTCGTCTGCTTGTGTTCCCTTTATTTTTTTGAGCAGTATATTTTATCAGTTCTTTATTCTGTTTGAACTGGCTTTGTAAATACATCTTAAGGACAACTCTAGAAGTGTTCTTTTTTAACTTCTAAAATAATCAATTACTTGCTCTCTATTTAAATAATTTCAAACATTTTTTTTAATTAAAATCAAATCTTTATTGTCAAAGACCAGAATAAGGTACGTGAAGCAAAAAAAATACTTTGATGCTGTTTCAAGTCAATAGACGTTCTTGAAAATATCACTCTGTTCAATCTAGGAATCAGCAGTTTTGTCTTCTGAGCTTTCGGATTCATACTGGAGCCCATCTTTAGGGAACTTCTCTCTAACACCCTCGTGAGTCCAAAACAAAAACTGCTGGTCCCGGTGACCAACCCAGTTTGGATCCTGCAACATTATTCTGGGACATATACATTCCCCTTCATTCATATCACAGCATTGCCTAAATAAAATAAAACAGGGCTGTGGGAAAGCTGAGAGTCGGTGGGCCAGAGCGGCGGCCAGCCACATAAGGCTTATCTTCACGCGGTGGCATCAGCAGCAGATTCCCCGGGCAGAGGCCCGGGGGGAAGGCAGGCAATCCAGATGCGTCGCATGGGCCATGGGAAAACCAAGAGTTGGTGGGCTGGAGCAGGCAGGTGGCCACAGGAGGCTCATGTTCACATATTTTGGCTTTCCTGCACCCCGTGGCATGCTCGGATCGCCTGCCTCCTCCCCTTTGCCTCCGCCTGCTGCTTGGACAGGGAATCAGCCAGGCTAGTCACCCTGAAATCGTGTTTCTGAAAATAAGCCCTAGAGCTTATTTTGGAGCCCCCAAAAATATAAGACGGGGTCCTATTTCCTGGGAAACATGGTGTGTGTGTATACACATACATACATACATATATACATACATATACACACAAACTTTGTTATAGATTTTCCACTTGAAGATTTTCATGTTGAAAGAGCTAGATGCATTACTTTGGATAGCAAATATATTGATTATAATTTTAAGACTTAGAATGAGAGTCAGAATTTAATAGGCCAAAGATATTCATTGAATAGAACATTCTTGTATCTTGGGTTCTCCCTAAATTATAAAAATGCTCCTGTAGAATTGGAAAGTCTTTGAAAGACTGCAGAAGTGCTGTGGGATATTTAAAAGAAAAAGTGGATCAGTGAAAAATGCATCCTTCCATTTGATAGAGATCATCTTTGCCACTATGATTAACATTTTTTCTTCTGCCTGTAGGTACAGTCCCTTAGAGAAAAGCTGGAATTAATAAAATCAGAAAAAGAGCAACTCTCGTCTTCAATGGCAGACATCATTCAGGGAGCTGAGAGCTATAAGGTAAAATGTCTTCATCTTTACCAGGTGTATTTAAGAAACAGGCAGCTGCTTTGGTCCAGTATGTGCAAGTAGAATTTTGAGAACATATTAAAAGCATCCTTGCCAAAAAGCTGTCCTGGTGTGATACAATCACATACCAGATATCTATTCATCAGCAAAAAAACATAGATTTCCCCCCCAAATGCTATCTCTTCCCACTTTTTACTGGACCCAGAAGTCATTGAGCAACAATCACTCATTCTTCCATTTTAAAGCAATGCCAAAGTGGAAGATATACAATCAGAGGCATTTTTAGAAATAAATATGATGCCGAAGCTGGTGTTTTTCTATGAAGCATGCTAGTGTTCCAGCAATATAGTTTTCACACAAGATTACAGAAAATAAAATATAGACTTATTTCCTTTGGGGTAAAAAGTCAATTTGTCTAACATGGTGATGGGGTAAAGAAAAAGATCCATCTCCCTTGTACATGTGTAATGCACTATGGACCTATATCTGTTCCAACTATGTTTTAAATTACATGTGCTTTCCAAGAATCTTTTATTAGAATATGACAAGCAAGCAGAACAACTGGATTTTCAAAAGACTCGAGCTCGTAATTTTGAACGTCAGATTGATGACCTGACCAAACAGTTGGAGAATTCAGTTCAGCAGGTATTTTTTTAGTAACATACATAATAAATACATTTATTAATAAATGCTATTAGCATTTGCAGAGCAGAAGATAAAACTAAAGCGGAAGAAATGGAGAGAGAAATTGGAAAAGCAGACTGCTACTTAAAGCTCCAACAACAAAGGTTGTTGTCCAAGAACAACCTTTGACAATAGATTTCTGATTTTTTAGTCCAGGTCTCTCTTGTCACTAGTAAGTAACCAAATGTCTGTGGAAAGCTTATTGAAGTGCTGTCTTGACTGTTCTCGTTTTTCTTTTTTAAAGAGAATTTTCTGTTCTGCCAAGCAAGCTTTCGCAGCTCTTGATGGAAAATTAGTAGGAAACTTAGCTCTTGCTTCAGGCAGTGCAAATATTTAAATGTTAAATGTTTCCATATACAGAATGGAATAATGGTTTGCCATCATAATTGTATTACTTCTCTATTTTAGCAAGAACAGTGGCGTTCTGCAAATGAAGACCTCTTGACTCGTGTTGAGACTCTTCAGACTAACGTCAAGCTGTTAGAAACCCAACTGCTAGAAATTCAGAAAGCCAAAGCAAAAGTTGATAAGGAACTTGAAGCTGAAAAGCTTCTAAAAGAACAAAAAATAAAGGTAAACAGCACAATTAAAAAAGCAGAAAATAAAACAACTATTTTTATTATTTGAATTTAGAGCACAAACTATTTTTGCAGGACCATGCTAACTCTGTCAGAGAAGCAGAAGAATATCAGACATTACTACAGAAAGAAAAGAAACATCTTCAGAAAGTTTTGGAAGAGCTAGAATTGGCAAAGAAGGTAGATGAGTGGTTTTCTTATTTACTTGTCATACTTCTATTTAAATATTTGTCATCTTTTGATATTGTTTGGTTTTGATAGTTTCAGAATCCTAACTTTTATGTGAATAATAGCATGTTACTGTATTTTTCGGAGTATAAGATGCACCTTTTTCCCCCATAAAAGAGGGTGAAAATTTGAGTGCATCTTCTACACCAAATGTAGCCCCGCCCAGCTGAAAAAAGCCTCTGAAATCTCCATTTGAGAGACTGAAAAAAAAACAAGGCGCAGAGCTCACAACCAATGAACCTGTTGCTAAAGTTCACCTCTGAGAACAGCTGATTGGGGGTATTCCAGGAAGCCGATCTACCCCCAATCAGCTTTTTTCTTATTTTCCTCCCCAAAAACTAAGGGTGCGTTTTATACTCAGGTGAGTATTATAGTCTGAAAACTACAGTAATTTGAGAGAAATAGCTAATGACTTCTAGACAAGGAATAACATTAAAATTGCATGTTTTAATTTTATATGATGCTGAATGTTTTAATATACAGGATGCTCACCAAAGCACATTGATGGATATGGAAATAGCTGATTATGAGCGTTTTGTAAAAGAACTTAATCAAAACATTACCGACAAAAGTAGCAGAATTGAAGATCTCGAGCAAGAAATTAAAATACAAAATCAAAAGAAAGAAATTCTACAGGAAGAAATCAGTAAGCAGCTTTTTAGAATTTAAGCTTCCATTTCTGCCTATAGAAGGATATGTATCAGTTCAAGAAGACTTTGAATTCTGATTCAAAATAATATGTTATAAAACTGGCATATTTTAATATAGTGCAACTCAGTAACCTGTTAACAGACAGAATATATGTTCCCACAATTATTATTGTTGCAATGATTAATATTGTCTAATCAGTTAAATGCTTATTAAACAAACTTTACACTAACAATTCTGTTGTTAGAGTTAAAAACAGATCATTGAATTTTTTTGCAAACTTTTGTCCAATGATGTGACCTGCTGTTGTAAACTAAAATAAAAAAGTACAAAAAAATCTTTTTTCAATAAAAAAGCTTTATTATCCAAGTAGAATTTGCATAAACTCCTATGTAGGAAAGTCATGTTTCATTAAATTTCAGTTGTTTTTCTAAACAAGTCAGCAACAAGGATTACTTTGTTCCTTAGAATCCTTACAGAACTCTGTACAGGAGTACGAGGAAAAGAATGGCAAACTCGAGCAATTATTGGTAAAAACAAAAAAAAGAGTTGGCAGACTCAAAACAAGCAGTAAGTTTGTGTTTTCCACTATTAATTCAGCTTTACTGCCTTCTGACAACAGTATATAATAATATTTTAATGGTGTTATTATGAATATTTTTTATTCCAGGAAAATGAACTTTTAAGACTTCAGGCATCTTTCAAGGGAGAACTAGAAGCCAATCAGCAACAAATGGAAGATTATAAGGCAAGATTCTTGTTTCCCCCTTTCAGATAGTAAAAAAAGAGTATTATATCCATATTGATACTGCATCCAATATCTGCTTGGAATATGTGTATCATAACTTCCTCTCCTCTTTCAACTCATTGAACAAATTTGAACTGTGTGACTATGTTTGCTTCATCACCAGGAATGCTGTGGATAGGTGCACTGGCTATAAAATTTATTTTCATTCTGGGAACTGGAACTCAGATATTCAGGGAAATTTTCCCACATTTGGCTAAAGATGAATTGCCCCGAATATAAGGAACAGTAGGCCTTTCACAGAAGACCCCTGAACTGGGCCTGGATACATGTGGAATTCCTGGGCCTAGAAGTATGAGGCAGTTCCTGAATTACACAGAAATTCCTTTCCAAGGTTTTTGCACATTTTGAATCCTGGTCTGCATGCATGTAGAAATACAACTGCTGCCATTTTGTACGTGCATCAATATGACAGCTTTCATTTTATGTATGTAAAAAGCAGCAGCAGCAGCAGCCATTTTCGCATCCCTTTGTGACGTACATGTCAACATCTACATCATTTGGGGACTTTTCCTGTGCTGTATAGGAAAAGTAGCCTCTCGGTCATTCTTTTGTCAATTTGATTTGCTTACTTGGAGGCAGCACTTGCCAATCTTGACTTTTGTTTGCTTAAACTCCTTTTGCCACCACTGTGTGTCACGAGTCAATTCTCATGAAATGTGCAGATATACAAATTTGATGAATCAGTAAATTAGCTTGCAATTCAAAATAATGAATACAGCCTCAGTTTAGTATTGGCCTTAAAATCAGAGTATATGAGAATTATTCTATTGAAATAAATGTACTTTTGCAGATTCAGCTGTCTGAACTAACTTCCGAAAAGCACAAAATTCAGGAACATCTGCGGACTTCACTAGAGCAGCATCAGCGGGTTTTGAGTACTTATCAGCAGAAAGTAGCTGCTCTCCAAGAAGAATGTAATGCAACAAAGGTATTTCAAGCCAACTTAGTCCGGTTGCCTCTTAACAATTCTTCTGCGAACAGTTCAATAGCTTAGACCAGGGCTGTCAAAGTCCCAGGTCACAGGCCGGATGCGTCACGCACTTGCCACGCCCACTTCTGGTTTAGTGAGGGGGGGGAGTCCCGATACGTCTCGTGACGACGTGAGTTTGACACCCTGGCTTAGACAGTAAGGAAGATGACCTCAGTGTAGATGTGCTGTTACTTAGACTAAAGGGGTTGAAAGCAGTAAGTCCAGAGCATTCGGAAGTCACTTACGCAGAGGCATCCCTGATTCACTGGAGCATAAAGTGAGGGAGGAGGCACAGCACAGTTAATACTTGCGAGGCTCTGTTAATACAGGTGGTCCTCGACTTAACAACAGTTGATTTAGTGACCGTTCAAAGTTACAATGGCACCAAAAAAATTGACTTACGACCATTTTTCACACTTCGGATCACTGCAGCATCCCCATGACCACATGATCAATATTTGGCCGCCTGGCCACTGACTCATTTATGACGGTTGCAGTGTCCTTATAAGCAAAGTCAGTGGGGAAACCAGATTCACTTAACTTGTTTACAGTGATATGGCAAAAAAACTGATAACATGGGGCAAATTCACTTAACAAATATTTCATTTGGCAACAGGAATATTGGGCTCAATTATGGTCATAAGTTGAGGACTACCTACATAGCCAATCTCAATAAAAGTAGTTTTGGTCTTCTTATAGATTTTCCAGTCTGGCCAACAGGTGGGACTGACATTAGTTGTTCACGGTTTGCATTCTGTCATTTGGACCATTCATAACATTTAAAAACCTGGTGTTGAAGACCTCAGAAATAGATTCCATGCAATAGATGCCACGAGGGCAGCTTTGAGGAGTGTATATTAAAAGGCAGCAGAAGAGTTCAAACATGGTCAGCATGATACATTGTTTTCAAGAAATATCATCTGTGCCTGTCACAACTAGGCTGATTGATGCACTATTTATCTCTTATATCCACTATTATAGGCATTTGGTATATTTTCCTACATATCCTAACTCTTCTCCAAAGGCTGCATACACAAGGAGTGACTTTCATTTGTTTGTAAGGCACTTAAATAGAGTATGGCACAGCCGTGTGTGTATATGTTTTGAGCAGAAATTACCAAGGTTTGATTCATAAGACTGTATTAAAAGATGGCTTATAAATATTCACCTTAAAAATGGCTTTTAAATATTCACCTTTTGTGGGGACTGATTTAAAAAACAATTTACATCTTCAGCAGCTACTTTGTACTTGATATTAGTAGTTGGACAAGTGTAGGCTCTATTTACCAAAGGCTATTTTGGAAAGCAGATGGAAAATATGCTAAAATATTTGTACTATGGGAGACCTGTTTGAATAATCTGTGGAGTGCAGTAGGCTAAAAGATAGATACTCTGTTTATAGCATAGTGCTCTTGTGAGCAATGTGCAATTTCCAATCTTGTTTGCTTTTGCAAAATTGAATGACTCAGAATGTAATTATAACTAGGCTTTTGATGGATGTAGCTTTAAAAAGGGACTGGTTTATATCTTAATGCGTCATGTCAAAATCAGAACTTCTAAAATTGTGTTAGCTTGCATAGTAATTGTCCTGTGAAGCAGCTGGGTACACTTTGGTTACAAATAACATTGTACTTATTCTATCATTTATGGTGTATGGAGAGGGTGTGAAATAACATTGGTATTCGTTTTGAAAGAAAAGATTTTTTTCTGCTATTCCAATAAAATTAGGCATATATTCATTACATTCAAATAGTTTATCTTATGAAGGTAGAGTAAGAGAAATAATTAATTCATCTTTAGTGAATAAGTGGTCACTTAGCTATTTATATAGAAAGTATAGGTAGTTGTTGACTTATGATGGCAATTGGAACTGGAATTTCTGTTACTAAGTCATAAAGCAGTGAGTCAAGGAGGATGGGCAGTGATCAGGGTCAGGGATGATGCAAGAGGGTGCACAGTGAAGGTCAACAAGTGAGTGTGGGAGGTGCAATTCAGGTAAGGCAGGGCCTGTGGGGAGCCAGTGGGAGTCAGGTAGAGTGTGTGTGTGGTGGGGGCCAACTCAAGAGATGCTGGCAATCTTTCCTACTAGCTTTCCCATTGACTTTTTGGTTAGTAATCAGAATGCTCATAAGTAGGATCCAGTTGCCAAGCGGCCAGATAATGATCAGGTGATCTTGGAGTTGCTGGTATGGGCAGATCTCCAAAGACTAATCATAGCCACCATTTGTTCAGCACCATCATAGCTTTGAGTGATCATAGTGATCACAAGTGATCATAGATCAAGGATTACCTGTAGTTATTTCATTTTATCATATGTCTCATTGCAGGAAGAACATTCTGCTGTAACCTCTGAATTTGAAAACTACAAAGTCCGTGTTCATAATGTATTAAAACAGAAGAATAAATCTTCACAATCTGAAACTGATGTGACCAAACAAGAAAGGTAAGCTTTATATGTAATAGGTTGAATTTTGCTTTAAATCATATTTTTAGCTCCTGGCTCAAGAATCTTCTTTGAAGATAGAAGAGTAATCATCTGGAATCTGCTATTTTTTATAAAGTCTGGATAATTTCTGTTCTGATTTTTTAAACAGAGAATATTTAATCAGTTGGCTATTTTTATCTTTAAAATTGACTGAATGAGCTAATATGCTAAAGAACTGGTTAGCTCTTCCTCTTGTTCTTTTTTCAAGAAAGTAATATAAAAGAAAATTTACAGAGGTTTTTTTTAAATCTCTATTCTGTGAAAATCTCACCACAACTAAAGTCACATCTAAAAAAACCAACATAAAGCAGTTTTAGTAGTTGACCTGTTTGTATTTTATGTGAAATATGTCATTTTTGTGTGTTCCAGATCCTACATATTCTTTTTCAAGAAAAAATATTAAACTGCAAAAGCTACAATTCAGTCTATATCTATAAATTCATATAATACCCATATAACTGGACAGCAATGCATTAGGTTCCAAAAGATTCACTTGTCCAAGAGGTCGGAATCAAGAAAAATCCCCATTACCTAAATCAGTTTTCTCAACCTTAGCAACTTTAAGATATGTGGACTTCAACTCCCAGAATTCCCCAGCCAACATGCCATGAGAAACATTGATCTAAATGTTCTCCAGAATAATAATAGCAGAAAGTTTCATTCCATGTACATTTCATGGAGAATACATTCTTGTGAATATATTTTAGAAAACCCAAATCCATTTATTATTTCTCTTACTATTATTTTACAATTCTGTTATACAATGATACTAATCAAACCACATTGATCCCATGATAATATTCAGTAAAATGCAGAATAAGCTGTTTTAGAGGCCTGAAAATAAACAAATAATATTGAATGTATATGCCATCCGACTCCCAGTGATCATGGGAATAAATAAAATGCCTTGAAACATTTAATGTGCAACACTTTAAAGATCATCAAAATGACCCACTTCCAACTTGAGAAGATTTTTCATGAAGCTTCCCGTTCAAAATTGTTCAAATTTCTCATCTATATGTTAATAACTTGTAACTTTTAAAGAAGCAAGTTATACATTTTCTAATGTTTTGTGAACTTTCCTTTCTTTTAGAGAACATATGGAAAAAGTAATAGAACAGCTGAAGATTAAATTGCAAGAGACACAACATAATTTACAAACGAACGTAGTAGACCTTCAGACTTTGCAGTCTGAACATGATGCATTGCTGGACAGGCACAATAAGATTCTTCAAGAGACTGTAGCAAAGGAAGCAGAACTCCGAGAAAAGTAAGTTTCTTTAGGATATATTTTTAATCTTGGCTTATGATTAGCCATGATTTGTTTTTAATTATATGTCCAAATATTTTCTTCATTAATAATCTTTAGATGCCTGTAATGGGTGTATCTCTTAATAAAGTAATCTGTTTATAGAAATGGTCAGCAGTGGTATAGCTACTCCTTTCTCTTAGTACCAGGTATTTGTTACTTTTTCTAATATTGAAACTTGGGTGGGTGGGATATTTTACAGACTTTGCACAATACAATCTGAAAATGTGGTAATAAAGTCAGAACATGCACAGACTGTAAGTCAGTTGACAGCCCAGAATGAAGCTCTTCAGAATAGTTTCCGGGATCAAGTCAGACATCTGCAAGAGGAGCACAGAAAGACAGTGGAAACATTACAACAGCAGCTATCTAAAGTTGAAACCCAGCTTTTTCAACTCCAAAGTGAACCAAGCACCAAAAGTAAGCAGTGAACCATTTTTCATTGGTGTGTGTGTGTGTGTGTGTGTGTGTGTGTGTGTGTGTGTGTGTGTGTGTGTGTGAGAAAATTCAAACAAGGCTACTTAATCCACTTGGTAGTCACATGCATTTAAATAAACATTTTTAAGGTGAAATTTAATTTTTGTCACTAAATCAAGTGACTTGTTTGATTATGGTCTGGGAAGATTCAGCTGAAGACAGTTTAGTTCAGGTAGCAAAGTTAGAGGCGTCTCAAAGAGTAATTTACTGTGTATAATTGATAATTTAATGCAATGGCTTCATTTGCCACAAAAATGAGTAGCGATTGGAGCACCTCTGTGGTAAGTAACTTGGTGTTTTCGATGCTGTTTTATTATATAATTTTATAATCTCTTGTAACTCTCAAATAATAGTCTCAATTATTTTCTATTCATTTGCTTTTCAGATTCTGCTCCTTCCACTCTACCAACCAAAAGTTTGCGAGAAAGAAGGAGCACTGACCTTCCTCTTCTTGATGTGCATGCTGTAACTAGAGAAGAAGGTGAAGGAATGGAAACCACAGACACAGAGTCTGTGTCTTCTGCCAGTACCTATGTACCATCCTTAGAACAGCTTCTCAATACGCCGGAAATGAAATTTGGTAAGATGGCCATACAGTGGGGCATGGGAGGTTAGAGTTTGTTTCTAACATATTACCAGAATCATTCACTTGGAATACGTTATAGCTCAGGAACAAAATAAATATAATATACTATGCATTTAAAATATAACCAGTAGACAAATTATTATGAGATATGGATAGGAGTAATGGCTATTCTGCCCCTGAATCATTAGGTTACATATTATTATGGAAATAACCTTGTTTACAGTTCTCCATGGATTTCAACTGCTTCCTTTGCTGGGCAGTTTTTTGAATTTTGGAGAACGGCTTTGGCCTGGCTATTTTTGTCAAAATAGCCTTTCATTGTGCAAGTTTCTTCATCAACCTTGGATTGGAGGTCTTTTGCATTGCCCATTACAGCAGTGTTTCCCAATCTTAACCATTTTAAGGGGTGTGGACGTCAACTCCCGAGTATTCTGGGAAACATTGTGCTACAGTTAGAGATAGCAAAGAAGTAAACAAAAACAAACCCCCCTCTAAGTTTCATTTTGTGATAAAGTAACTTGTGTTACAAATCTCTGCTGTTCTTAAATTGATGGTGCCAATTAATAGTATTCTAAACAGATGTAGAATTTTCATATATTTTTATAATGTTGACTAGTTGTGACTAATGTAAATTATGTAATACACAGATAACTGATGACTAGCATTCTGAAGGTTCATAAAAAGGGTTTGCTTTTGATATTGTTTGCACCAGTAAGAATGGAAATTTGGATTTTAATTTTTTTAAAAAAATAAGTGTAAAATGCATATTATTTTTGGTTACAGCCATAAATTAGAATCCATATAGTTAAAAAAAATCTACTGAGCTAACCAGAAATTTGCTTTTTGTAAACAATTTTAGAACCTCCACAATGGGAAGCAGAACTCACAAAACAAGAGTTGGTCCAGAAGTTAAGTACAACATCAAAGAGTGCTGATCACTTAAGTGGATTGCTTCGTGAGTCAGAAGCAACCAATGTCATCCTAATGGAACAAATTAAGGTTAGTAGGCTTGTACTTACCATGCTCCAACTTAGATTTAAAGTATATGTGAATTTGATGACATTTTGCTCTTATTCACACAATAATTCACACACTCTACTATCATGCCATCCTTCATTTGACTTCTATTCTTGTAAGTAGTGATTCTCTTGTTAGACGTTTTCGTTGGTTGGGCAAAAGTGGGACACAGGCAGGGGTGTTATTCTGCAGGTTCTGACAGGTTCTGGAGAACCGGTAGTGGAAATTTTGAGTAGTTCGGAGAACCGGCAATACCTCTGGCTGGTCCCAGAGTGGGGTGGGAATGGAGATTTTACAGTATCCTTCCCCTGCTATGCCCACCAAGCCACGCTCACATAACCAGTAGTAAAAAAAAAAAAAAATGAATTCCACCACTGGACACAGATAACTTGGTGGATGAATAAGCAAATAAAATACAGAAGGGATGGAAGAGGGAAGAGAAGTTGCCCATATCAGAGTTCTGAAATGGACTCCTTAAATAATGTTTAGAATCCTTCAAGGTATTTAAAAAGGGATGGACATTAAATTTCTTAGGTTGGCAACATACAAAGCTTGAAAAAAATTTAAGACACATGATTTGGTCCTGGTCTGTTATCCATTATGGTTTCAATGAATACATATGTTAAAAATAATTATGGTTCAGGTTTTCAACGCGATATGGAATTGTATGTATAAAATGTAAAATTTGTCATCTGATAAAGAGCTTTGGCTGTATAGTGCCTGGAATATGCAAAGGCACAGGCAAGAGCACGAGTCAAAGCCAGGTGGGTGTAAGCCAAAACAAACAATTGTTCTTGACAAAGACAAATTCCCCCAATCCCCGTTGTCCTCAGCCCCTAGTCTGCATTCCAAGGGAGACATGCCATCCCCGTCGGACAGTCCCTGTTTCAACTCCTCCTCAGAACCAGGCCATGATAGTTATTTTGTTAAGGCTTAAAGAAGTGATAGCAATAGCACTTATACACTTCCCCGTAGTGCTTTACAGCCCTCTAACCAGTTTACAAATGTCAGCATATTGCCCTCAACAATCTGGCTTCTCATTTTATCGGCCTCAGAAGGATGGAAGGCTGAGTCAACCTTGAGCTGGTCAGGATCAAACTCCTGTCCTGGCTGTGGGCAGAGTTAGCCTGCAATACTGCATTCTAACCACAGTGCCACCACCGTTCCCATAGATATGCTATCTCCCCAACAACTCAAGAGAAGCTGGTGTATTTTCCCATCAGATGGGACACTTGAAATCAGAAGGGAACACAGTGCAATATTGCAAGTCCCTGGAAGATTTGAAGATTATTGGTGTTCTCAGTTAATTTTTGCCTGACTGCAAAGGAATTTATTATATGAGAAATCAGGAAATATGAATTTTATTTCTTTTAGCCTGAGACACATAGCTAATGATTAGGAATTATGAGAAATCTATTCAGCAATACCTGAAAGACCACTAACTGACCCTGTCTTCATTATTTTAACACGGAATAGCTGTTTATATTGTTTTCTGGGCTATTTTTCTAATATAATTTGGCCTGATAAATTTTCTGCTTTCTTGTCTTCCTTCTGAGAAATATATTTCTTTGGGTTTTGTTTTGTTTTTCATTCTCAGCTTCTTAAAAGTGAAATAAGGCGATTAGAAAGAAACCAGGAACGAGAGAAATCTGTTGCTAATCTGGAATATTTGAAGAATGTTCTATTGCAGTTTATATTTCTAAAATCAGGCAGTGAAAGACAGAGACTTCTTCCAGTAATAGACACCATGTTGCAACTAAGCCCAGAAGAAAAAGGAAAACTTGTAGCAATTGCTCAAGGTATGCCAGTCTGTTTTGCTACTAACTTGCTAATGGAACATAGTAACATTTGTTTGAATATCTGCAACTAATTCCAACCATTGTTTTCCTGTATTTGACACTGTTGAAAAAAGACTATTTAACAAAAGCAATAGTACAATCTAAACTATGCTTCTAAGAGGCCATCTGTGACTACTTATGTTCAAATCATTCAAAACATTTAACTATAGAGTGATTTTCTTTCTCAACATTTTTTCAATTTATTCATTTAAAAAAAACATTGGGCAAAAGTGCCTTAAAATCATTATCCAATCGATCTGTATGGAACAAGCGACTGTCTGTTTCATGGCAGATCCTTGACATTTCTTGCTTAACTCTGCTGGATCTCCACAGCTCACAAAAAGCGATGCCTTTCAATTCAATATGTTAATCAGTAAAGGTGATATCAGATGCCTTCTGGTCTTTTGCTATCATAGACTAACATAGCTCTCCTACAGTTGGTAATTGCTGTGATTATAATCAAACTAATCATCTCAAGTATGCACATTAAAGGTATAGTATCATTTACTAAAAGATTGAATTGTGCTTTATGTCTTGTCATTTAAATCTGGGGCTGGATATTTAAAACCAATATGAGTTGTGTTATGTTTTGTAAGGTGATGAAGAGACCCTGTCCCAAGCCTCTGGATGGGCATCATACTTACACAGCTGGTCCGGACTCCGATGAGTTTTCACTGTTCGGGCATTCAAAATCAGCAGCTGCACTGAGAAGAATTTCAACCATAAAGACTGAAGCATATAGCCGGGTAACTCTTGTTTGGGGTTTTCCCACAACTGCCTCAGTTGTTGTTGGTTTTTTGTTGTTTCTTTTTAAGAAATAATAATATTCTAAATGAGACTTGTTGAAGGACTTGGAGTAATGTCTTGTAGTCTCAGTTTCTGACTCCCTTTTTAGGGTAACTATGGAGGTTTTCAGTGAACTTTCCTCCTTGGAAGAGCTATCCTTTTCATTGACTGGTGAGACAATTTTGCAGAACATACTTTGTGTGACTGTGTCATTCATCAAAATGAATCTGTAAGCTTTCACAGAGCAAAATTCTGTATGTTTGCAGACCCCCCCCTGGGTTGGAATTTCTGATAGTAGCAGGCTTCCACAATCTGCTGTCCTCCAGTAGTAGATTCAGTACAACTTCTAAAACTTTCAGCCTTGGAATTTTATATGTTGCAGTTCAAAACATTAAGAGGTTATTAACTTTGGCTGAACTACCACTTGCATTCCTTCTTTTTATCTGTCTAGGAGAAGAAGTATGATTCAGTTTGGTGATCTGTAGTAAGCCTGTCATTGACAGAAAATGCTGACTACAGACTTCCTATGCTGTTCCAAGCTTTATTTCTTTAGTACCCCAAACTAAAAAAAAAAAGAAATAGAAGATTTTGCTGAGCTTTAAAATGCTTATTCTTCTGGAACTGAAAGCCAAATGCAAAAATAAAGTGAATATCTTCTGCACATTCACTTTTCTTTAACAATAAGAAATTCCCCCAAATATTTAATGATTCTTTATAGACTAATAATCTTGAGACACTGCTTTGACAGATTATTGCATTTTCCATTCAATTGCTACTTGAAAAAGACTAAGAGCAAACTTTTAAAAATCAAATTGAAAACGAATTGCATCATTTAAAAAATCAGTTGGAAACTGCATTCTACTGTCATTCAAAGGAAACATTGATACATTACTTAGGTTAGTAGTATCTAAAGATTAAAAAATGATATTTTGCTATGAACGATGAATCCAAAATATAATTGCTTGGTATTATCTAAGTTGAATGTTAGCCAAAGAAAAAATATTGAAATGTAGTTTTTATAGGTTTGTCAAGATACCATTTTGTCACATCCAGATTAACCTTTGTGACTCTTGTTTTTTATCTGCATTCTACTTCAGAATTGGATCTCTGTGTGTAATGTGTACAAAAAAGATGCTGACATGCATAGAAGCTTGAATTTAGAGCTCACAAAATTTAAGATCCATTAATAATTTAAAATCCATTTATTTGAATAAATGTGATTGAAGCTGTTTGGGGTGGAGGCAACTTATTGTTTACAGAATACCTGGTGTCCAGCTGTATGTGCTGTCAAATAGGTTACTGCTAGAGTTCAGCACAAGACCAAGATGGATTAAGAAACAATTATCTTGTTGTCTATAGGGAAGAAGCTGCTGATGTTATTGTGCCCTGTGTTGTCTGTGAATGAAATCTGAAGTTTTGGAGATAACTGTTCTTGAGAGAAATGATTTAGTTCCTATTCACCACCTTTCTCCAATGAATATCCTGTATCTGAAAATAGTGTAATTATTATATGGAAGAAGAAATATTTAGTTATTAAGAGATGACATTTTAATGGCAAGGCTATTTCAGAAATGCCTATTCAACAAAATATGTTGGTCATCATCAATTTTCATAGACATTCAGATATAAGAGTCAGGAGAAAACATAATTCGTCAGTGAAGTATAACATGAGAATACAGCCCTTAGCTCTTCTGTCTAGTTCAACACATTTCTACCATATGTTATAGAGGCTGTCCAGTTCCACCATTCTGAAAATGTTTGGAAAGTGAGCTTAATTTAAGCATATAAAACATTTCTATTCAGTAATAATAATTGTGTGACATTTCTTGATCATATCAGAAGTCTCTTTGCTTAGCCTTGATAGGACTGAGAGTAAGAGAGGGAAAACTAAGCACAGTGGCTGTTCAGATCCCAGCCTTTCTTCACAGTTGAGCCACAACTTTCGTCATCCGGGTCTCCTCTGAATGTGTTGGAGGTCCTTTCCCAGAATTCTTAGCCAATGTGGTCTCAAAGAATTGAAAGAGAATATCTGAGGAGCAATGAGTGGGGAAGGTTGCTTGAAATGTTAAAAGTTTGTCACTGAATGCTCATTGACCTCCAACACATTTAGAAGAGACCAGGATAATGAAAGAGGTGGCTGACTTGTGAAGAAAGGCTGGGACCTGAACAGCCACAATGCTTAGCTTTTGTCTCTCCTACTGTCAAGTGCTATCAAGGCTAAGCAAAGAGACTTCTGATATGATCAAGAAATGTCACACAATTATTACTACTGAAAAGAAACATTTTATATGCTTAAACTGAGCTCACTTTCCAAACATTTTCAGAATGGTGGAACTGGACAGCCACTATAACATGTGTTAGAATTGGTTGTGTCTCTTCCTTTTTAAAAAGTGTTAATTTCACAAGTCAATAATTTGACTTGTCCCCTATCATGTACATTACATGCTTAAACTGGGAAGGACAATTTCTGCACCATCATTAATAGTTTACTAATTCCAGAATTAGCATACCTGTAAACTTGCTACTGATTATTTCCTTATCTACACACTTTTATTAATAGCTGTGACAATATGAAATTGTCTTTTTGGTCATTTCAAATCCTTTTCTTAATAATTTCAGACTGTGAATAAATTATGCATATATCTCTGTTTATTTTTTCATTTTTGGTTGTATGTTCGGTATATTAAAATACAAAATTTGTAAATGTAATTTATTATCCACATGCTTTAAATATATTTTACACTACAGAGAAAGATTTTGGGTAATGTGACAAGGCAAGGATTCAAAATTAAAATAATGGATGCAAAATGTGGTCTTTTGTAAAAGTTTATTGAGCTGCTATTTTTAAAGTATGTAAAGCTGTTTCCAGAAAAATGGAAAAAGGAGAGAGAGAGAGAGAGACAGAGAGACAGACAGACAGACAGACAGACAGACAGACAGACATTACAGAGCTAATTACATATTTGGACATCATCGTGACTAGCATCATGGCCAGTAGCTACAACTATAGGTGAAGGTCTACTTCTATAAATCATCATCTCAATGGAGGAGATATATCCATTGACACCCTTCCTACAAGTTAGCATTCTGACAATGAAGAGAGAGAAGAGGCACGTAAAGGACTTTGGAACAAACTCATCCTTGTTCTACCACACTACAATTTGCGTGCTTATTTTTCCAAACACATATATAAACATTCTGCCATAACCAGTTCAAACCTGGTGATTTTTTAATAAAAGAATTACATCACTGGATTTCCCTCCCCCTAATTTTATTGTATTTCCTTTAAAACTTACATAGTAATAGATCTGAGATTTGTGGATGGCTGAGAATTGGCTACATTCTTATTTCATAAATATTATTGTAGGGACTTGAGACTTTTCAATTTTGTTTTGCAGAATATTGTATTAGTTAATTAAGTCTCATGACCAAACTGTAATACTGATGAGGATAGCCTTGTTTTCAAATCTGAATTTATTAACAATGCTGCAAATTACAAAAGGGAGCAGATATGATATCCAATGTACCGTACTTTCTCAAAGCCTAGCTACATGGGTATATTCCTGTCTGTACTATATTCTTAGATAAATGTGGCGAAGCCTTGCTTTCTTGCCTTTTCCAGTTTGGCTCATCTGTCACTGAACTCTCTAAAGAGTCTTTCTGAGCTCTCTATATGTGGTTTCTTTAGAAAACATTATTGTATATATAGCCAAACTATTTGCCTATTAGCAAGATAATACCAGATGAAACATAATTTGAATGGATTTAAGCAACCAAGACAGAAAGGTGATGCCTTAGTGCTTTTTCTTAATTTAATTGTTAACTGTTTTGGATTAGCCTACACATGTATTTTCTATTTCCTGCTGAAGCAAAAGCATTCAAACTAGAACAGTTATCTTAGATTAGGAAGTCTCAGCTGAATAAAATATGTTACACCTTCTGAGCTATTGCATAGTTTTAATATACACTGCTCAAAAAAATAAAGGGAACACAAGCAGAAGACATCCGAGATCTGAATGAATGAAATAGCCTTATTAAATACTTTGTTTGTTACATACAGTAGTTTTGTGTTCCCTTTAGTTGTTTGAGCAGTGTATAAACTACTGTATGTAAAGAACAAAGTATTTAATAAGGCTATTTCATTCATTCAGATCTCGGATGTCTTCTGCTTGTGTTCCATTTATGTTTTTGAGCAGTATAGTAGCTTCCTATATACATATATTCTGGTTGACTCCTCCCCTATGAGTTTATCCTTTAGCTCAGAGGTCCCCAACCTGTGGGCTATGGCCCACTACTGGGCAGTGAGTGGTTTGAAACTGGGCCATGGAAACAGCCAGCGAACGTGCATGTGTGCATGCACATTCTCATGTGAGCAATGGGAGAGCACATGCGCATATGCTCCATTTGCATTTACTTGGGGACTGGCACATTAGGATGGTTGCGGAGTTCTGGATCATGTGATCACCATCTGCAATCTTGCTAGGGAGCTTCCGACAAGCAAAGTCAATGGGGAAAGCTGGATTTGCTTAACAGCCACGTGATTCATTTAATGACCACAATATAAAAGAGTGTAAAATTGGATACAACTCACTTTACAACTGCTTCATTTAATAATCCCAATCATCACCGTAAATTGAGGACTAATATTACCACTTTCAACAGGATCACTTGAAACTTTCATCTGTTTCTCCTCCTGAACAGTAATGCTAGGACAACAACTTCAATACTGACTCCCTGGCAATCTTAAGCAGGAACACAAAAATGGGCAAACTTTTTATCTTCTGCTGGTACAATAAAATTATGGATCATGTTGGGGCCAGTGGAAAATTATGCAGTTCAGATAGGAACAATTGGTTTTGTAAAGACAGTAAAGTTGCCATTTCCATGCACTTGACTGGAGTAAGTAACCTAACTCTGGACCACATCTTTTTGAATTTGCTCAAATCTTTTTGATTGTTTGATACTTATCAATGTTAGCAGGACAGTAGTCCAAAATTGTTTCCGTTATGTTTCCCATCATCTTGGGATAGGAAAAAAAAATAGTATAAGTTCTGGCATCATTTTAAAAGAAAATGCTTCAATCCTTCCAACTGGAGGAACTAAAGAACAATAGCCCTAGCCTTCCTTAGAAAACATATTCTTTCAGATTGCCTTTGTCATGAATCAAGAAGCACCTGAGATACTTAAAGATAAAGTGGATTTGAAGATACAGATGGAGATGGAGTATATTGCAATATATTTTGCTCACATTGGGCTCTGATGTGTCAGTTGTGAGTTACTGACTTGGGTTTATGTGTTTTTTGGATTCTTACCAAATGCTTACTAAGAACATCAGGAGCTGCCAATACTGCACAGCTGCATAACTTTGACTTTTGTGTCAAAATTATTGGATTACTTCCATAAATATTCTTAAAGCTAATGTGTTACACTGGCAGCAAATACCACTTAAATACAATACAAGTTGCAATGTTCTACATGTGAGTACATCATCAATTATATACTAATACAATGTGAGTCCATCAGTTATATACTAATACAATGTGAGTCCATCAGTTATATACTAATAAAATGTATTTTAGGCTTGTGGGATGCTCATCTAATATTTTAAACAAATAGTTCTTTAATACTAATACAGGAATCAATATAGAACACTACTTAATTTCTGGGGTAAACCTTGAAGGTTTGTTTCATGCATAAACACTTTAAAAACATAGATTTGGATGGGTGGGGTAATAAAGGGCAATATTCCATTTTGGCTGTTTTGTTTGCTTATTCCCGAGACAACTGGCTGAAATAAAACACTTTAAGGTTGATCTTTAATAAAGTTCAGACTGAACAGTGGCAGTGAATCAGAAAGGAAGTCAAAGTGATCACTAACATACCTTTGTCAATATATTAAGTGTAATCTTGCTCTATTTTTGTTCAGCGGGGCATAATGGATCATTCAGCCATGCCTACCTTTTAAAGAGCTATTTTAGGAAACAGATGAATCTGCTTTCACTCCTTCAAATACAATGTGAAATGTCAACATGCATAGCTAATTCTCTGAAGGGCTCACTGCAGACTCTCATATGGTGGTATTTCCATTCTTTTTCAAATCCCTTCAAAAACTAAAGAACCTGCATACATGTGTACTCTACACATTTTATTTCAGAGCATTCCAAATTATTTGGATTAAGGCTCAATCATTTCCAGCAAGTGGGCTCAATGAACACAGATATAAGACATAGCACTATAAAACATTACAGCTTGCAGAGGAATTAAAAGATAAATTCCATTCATATACAAAATAACACTAAAATTGGGTAGAAACTTTTGTGATTGTATACCATCCCGCGGCTTTACCAGATTCTACATTGTAAAAAAACTGGGATATGCCCCACAGGAGCCAACTGGGAGTCCCAACATTTGTTGGTTATCTCATTCCCTTGATTCTTTCAGCTATAAAATGAGATGATGAGATGATACCGTGTTTCCCCGAAAATAAGATCCTGTCTTATATATTTTTGAACCCTGAAATAAGTGCTTGATCTTATTGCCTTGCGCTCAAAAGTCTGATTGGGCTTATTATCAGGGGATGTCTTTATTTTGGAGGAAACAGGGTAGTTGTAAATAAAATATGTATCATCAACACGCTACATGTACAACCATTTCCTAAACAGTAGCTTGATGTAGTTTTAAGTGTTCCTGTGTCTTGTTGTTTTGGTGTGCAGTGCTCTATAGTGTTGTTTTGAGGGTAGGAGTTGAAACAAATTATGTCCAGGATGTGAGGGGTCTGTA